GATAAATCCGTTAGATGAAAATAATACTAACTACGGATTAGTTAAAAGATTTAACATCAGCAAAGGAAGTAGAATAATAGATTTAATGGGACGTCTTCATATCGATTTAGCGAACCAGCCTAAGCTTCTAACGAACAATGTAGACCTAAGAATTAAATTGGAGAGATCTAAAGAAAATTTTGCGCTAATGGCGGATAACGACAACTATAAAATTATTATTAAAAACGCCTCGCTAAAAATTAATAAAGTAGACGTTAGTTCGTCAATACAGATAGGAATTGAAAAAGCGCTCCAAACCGGTATAATTAAATTACCGTTCCGTAGGACAGATGTTAAAGTCTTTACATTAACTAGCGGGATTCAGTCTACAAGTATATCAAACGTTGTTATCGGTCAACTACCTTATAGAATAACTCTCGGATTAGTTTCTAATTCTGCATTTAATGGAAATGTGAAGCGTAATCCTTTTAATTTTAAAAATTATGATTTAAATTATATATGTTTATCAAAAGACAATCAAATGATACCTTCTAAATCCTATACTCTGGATTATAGCAATAAAATTTATGCAAGAAATTTTATCTCGTTATTCGAAGATACCAGATGTATTCATCATCACAAATCTATAAATATATCGTACGACGAGTACCGAGACGGTTATAATTTATATTGTTTTGATCTTACACCCGATAAATCAGGCTCCGAGTCGCACGTTAGCATAGACCAGCTAGGAAATATCTCTGTGGAAATAAAGTTTTCGAAGGCGATACCAGAAACCATAAACATTATTTGTTTGCTAGAATATAATAATACCTTAGAAATCGATTATTCACGAACCGTATTCGTCGATTATTAATTGAATGAATACCCGTTACGTTGTGGAGATTAGTAGCAAGCGATCCGAAAATAAAAAGAAATTTCGGAGGAGGTTTGCATTGGACGATCTACCGTTTCGAGTTGGTAATAAACAATCTTTTATAATTAATTTAGATGAAAAAAATAAGCCGGGAAGTCATTTGATATCGGTACTTTTTACCAAAGATAAAAATTCTTGCATTTATTACGATAGTTATGGATTAAAACCGAGGAAAGCGAGTATCATAATATTTATAAAACAAAATTCAAAAAGATATTGTTAGAATAATATTATTCATCAGTTTGTTTTCCTTAAACTGTGGTTATTTCTGCTTATATTTTTTATATAAAATTAATAGAAATCTATATTTATCAGAACTGCATGTAACAGATTAATTTTATAACGATGAATTTGTTAAAAATTTTGTTAAAAATAATTTTCATTTATCAAAACCGATTGTAATAACCAATAACCAGTGTTGTAATTTAATAAAAAAATCTATTTAAAATATAAAAATTGCGTTTTTATTCACAAAAATTTACATTTTTTCCTCAATGATTTTTTTTCAAAAAATGTCCGACAATTCTATATAATAAAAAATATATATTTAGTATTTCTGAAATGCGATAATATTTAAAAAGAATATAAAATATTTTTTACCTGTTTTCATGTAATACTTGTATGAAAAAACATCACACAATGCACAGTGCTCAATGAAGTTTTCATGATGAGAACATGGGATTTTAATTTTCGAGGAATTTGGTACCCCAGATTTTTTTACATCTAATGAGTAGATTTTAAGAATGCGGTCGCTCCCCCTTCTAATTAAACATTTTTCAATTTTCCCACCTTTAAAAAAATAAAATCATAATTTTTGAAAAAATTTTGGATAGTGAATACAACATTTTCATGATGTATCCACTGATCACCATCATTTTTACCACGATATGCCAAATATAGCTTATGTAAGCTGTTACAAAATCTGACGGGTTTTTTATCAGTGGGGGTTAATTTCCTCCATTGTATTTTGGGATGGAAAAATTAAGAATCCCAAAATGCTCGGAATTAAATCCTACGTATCTGATTTGCCTCGTTAAAAAACCATCAGAGAGTTGTAAGAGGAGCTCATTTTTAAATCTGAATCCCTCGCAATCGATTATAACCCCTGGATAATCTAAATAATAAAAATTAATTTATATATATATAATATTAATACTAAACACATATGAAAAAACTTACTATTCAGTTTTGCTAATTTCCAGCATTCAATCGTTGTCATTTTCTTCTATTACAAGATTCTTCTATTACAAGATATGCCCGTATTCGAAATTATATCCCCGAAACTCAGGCACTATTTATACTAAACTAGGAGGAAAATACTGGTACAGGATTTTCCTTAATAAACAACTTGTGCATTCAGCTTGACCCACAAAAATAGGTAACCGATTTTTCCTCATTCAACTTGATAGGACATGTTACAGGGTGTGGATTAGGTTAATCTATCATGTTTTTTTTTTAAATTGCGTGTTTGCACTATTTATTCAGAAAATACAACAATAATCATCTGATTCGCTGTGAATATTGAGCTGTTTTTATATATGACTTAGGCTTAAATATAATACCGATTATATCCAACAGATTTGTGTACTTTTTAGATTCGTTAAAAATGTTTTCAATACTCAAAAAATATAAAGAAGTTTTATTTAATACACACCTGTTTTAAGGCCTCCATCTCCCCATCTCCGTCTTTTTCGTGGTGGTGGTGGTGGTTCTTCTTGTTCTGAGGAAAAAGAATTATCATCCTCGGATGAGGACTCAGATGAGGTAGAATCCTCCTCCGAATTCTCATCCTCGGATGACGACTCATCGCTGCTATCACTAGGTTCCAGTGGAGAGCTAGGCCCTTCCGCTAGATTGTAATAGCACGTAGAGTCTTCTTCCTCCTCTCGAGGTGCGATTGCTCCAGCAGCAGCAGGTCTCTGATTTTTGGATGCCATCATCACCCACCGCTGTTGGCTGAGAAAACGGTCTCTAACTCTGGATGGGATATAGACCGTCTCAGGGACAACAGCCATGACTAGAGGGGTTCCTTTATTTTTATCATAATTCCTCACCCCTCTAATCATAGCTCTATATCCAGCAATCACACTTCTCTCGTCGGCCACCACAATATTCTCCATGCTATATTCAAGAAAAAATATTATATTATCCTCCTTAGAGGGTTTTGTGTTAGTTCTTATAGATTTAACAAAAAATAATCTTAAGATATTAGTAAAAGAAATGAATCAGCTCTCCAAGGTCAATGACTCTCACGCGAAAACAGCTGCGTCCTAGTTAGAAGACGCTCCCATGACCTAGTGAAAACAGCTGCGTCCCAGTTAGAAGACGTTCCCATGACTTAGATAATAACTCTTCGAAGACAGGACAAAGAAAACAAACTTTTCCTTATGACCTAACCCTGTCAATAAGCATTACTTTGAAAAGGATGTGCTCTAATTTTTGTTTCAACTGTCGCATCTAACAAGGTTTGTAGGTCAGTAGCTGAGGATAAAAGTGGGTGTATATTTTTCTTAAATCACTCATTGATTGACTACCAGAGAAAAACTCATCGATTTATCTAAGAAAACTTTTGCTAAAGGAAAAATCATGTCTGATCTTGGTAAGTAACTTTTATTTTAATAATAATAATAATACCTACCTTAATTTATATTATAATATTTTATAAACTAATTGTAGAATTTGATTTTGATTTCGAAAAAAAATAATAAGAAAAGAGGTCCCAAGCCTAAAACAGCCGAGGCTGGTGAAAACAAAAAAGACAAGATTTGATTTGGATCTAACGGCCGAGAAAAGTAAGCAGATAAAAATTCCTGACTTTAAAGTTAAGATTAGCGAATCCGAGAGAATCGAGATACAGGAATTTCAGTCGAATTTCTATGTATCTATCACAAAAACTAAAGGATCATATCCTCCTAATAAGTACAATATCAATGTAAAAAATTTTAGCAAGTACAAACAAGCATTCAACGCCATGGGACAGCATTTGGAGGAATATACCAAATTTTAATAGTATGGTACAGTCGACCCCCCTATAAGATATAGATACGTTCCATTCTTTAGGAACCCAATTTCTTACGAATTCTTCCAATCACAACCCGACACGTGTCAAGTTTATGGACTTAGGCTGTTTGAAAGATTTTCTTCCATAAAATTAATCGATTCTAGACTAATCCGACTCAACATTTCCAAAATATGTATATATTTTTTTGGGAATAATCCGTATAAACTATGCTATAAACAAAAATTTATAGGATTACTTACTGAGTGTGCACCGCCATTGCTAATGCTTGTTTTTGTCGCGGAGCATCCCTCCACGACAAAAACAAGCATTAGCAATGATGAAAGTTTTCTGATGACTTAGTTTTCTGCGAAAACTTCATTGAACTTCGGAGACATCATTAATATAAATAATTTTTATCGCCGTTGAATAAGAAATGTTTCTTTCACAAGAAATGTATAAAATAACAGTACTGTATTAGACTTACGGTACCTAATTTACATACTCTACAGACGATAGTTAGCGTAAAAATCTCTGTAGCGTGGCGCCACGCTAGACGCGGAAATTATATATTTAATTATAACAAAGTTACAATAAGTTAATATATAATTATATATACAGTACATAATTTATATATAATCAATATATAATTATATGTACAGTACCTAATTTATATATAATTTATATAATACTGTCCAGACAATAGAAATCTCTCCGTAGTTGGCGCTACGGATGGCGGGAAAGTAGTTCGGGTGCCCGATTACGTTTGAGGTAATTATAGGGGGTTTTTTACTGTTTTTTCGGATACCGGTTACAATTTTTTCGTAGTTTTATAGGAATCGTAATTATAGGGACCGTAATTATAGGGGGGGTCGAATGTCTAATGTTTTTTCTATACAAAATTATTGATTGTATAATGTTTTATAGTATGGTATTATGGTTTTATACAAAATTATTGATTGTATAATGTTTTATAGTATGGTATAACAGTTTTTAAAATTTGTGTGATGATATTCTAATTACGATTTTAATAATGGTTTTCACATTTGTATTAAGAAAAAAAGCTTTCAAAAAGTATGTCAGTAGTTATAGAGCATTTATCTCTAATTATACAGATCCTAGTATTTTATTTGAAAATATTAGACATACTATTTATAATATTTTGACTAATGATTTAATTTCGAGGATGAAATTTTTATTGAATCTAAAAATAAAATTTATAAAATATTCAGAAAATGAAAGTATTACGTATGAGGATGTGTTTTTCGCCAGTCGAGTAGAACATATTTTATCTCAGTATATGATTGATGAAAGGTTAACAAATGCTTTTGATACAATTTTAAACTTCATCGATCCGTTTATAAAAAACAGATTAGGGTGGATAATTAAGGAAATTATATTTTTAGATATTCATTTAGGAATTTATAAGGCTGAGAGTGGTGGATGTGGTAATATCATCCTACCAAAACATTTAATTAATAAGCGTTGTTTGTTGAATATTAAATGTAGTGATAATCAATGTTTTTTATACTGCATAATTGCTAGTTTGTATCCAAATACTAACAACAAAAATTCGATTTATTCGTACAGGAAATTTTTGAAATATTTAAATACAAATACCCTAAAATTTCCAGTAAATATTAAAAATATTCCATCATTTGAAAAAAATAATAGTTTAAAAATTCAAGTATTTGGATATGAAAAAAAAATAATTTATCCTATTTATATAAGTAAATATCAGTTCGAAAAAGAAATTAATTTGTTATTATATAAATCCCATTATTTTCTAATTAGAAATTTTAACAGACTATTGTCAGAAAAATCAGGAATACGAAAATTTTGTAAACGATGTCTTATAGGCTTTCAAAGAAGTCATACTTTAAACGAGCATGTGAAAATATGTTCTAATTATAAATATCAGAAAGTTTCTACCCCGACTGGAGAAAGAGCTGTTGCTAAATTTACTAATTACGAGAAGCAATTATATCACCCCATAGTAATTTATGCTGATTTTGAATCGATTCTAGAAGAAGTTGATGTAAACGCTGTAGATCTAAATTCTAGTTTCACTAAAACTATTCAGATTCATAAACCTATATGTTATTCTATCGTTATTATAGAAAATGATGATGATTTATTATATTCTAATTTTTATTGTGGTAAAGATGCTGTTAAGCATTTTTTATTTGATATCCAGAATCAATTAAAATTTTTATTAGATAAAATAAATAGTTATGTAGAAATGAATGTGGATACTATTCCCGATAATTACGAACATCGGTGTCATATATGTGAGGAGGGGTTTAATTATGATGATATCAGAGTAAGAGATCACGATCACTTAACAGGTGATTTTCGCGGAATAGCTCATAACCATTGTAATTTAAATTATAGATTCAAAAAATTTATTCCTATTATACTACATAATTTTACAGGTTATGACTCCCATCTGATTTTCAAAAATATTCCTCCTAAACTATTTTCGAGAATTCAGATTATCCCAGTTAATTCAGAAAAATTTACTACGTTTACTTTAGATCATTTCAAATTTATAGACAGTTTCCAATTTTTAAATTCTTCGCTAACTACTTTAACAGAAAATTTAAAAAATGCAAATTATAATTTTCCTATTTTTAATAAATTTTTCTATAATAACGAAAATAAAAATTTATTAAAAAGAAAAGGAATTTTCCCCTATTCTTATTTTAAAAACGAGGATATTTTATACGAGAAATGTTTACCCCCGAAAAAATATTTTTATAACGAATTATCTGGAGAAAATATTAGCGATGATGATTATGATCATGCAAAATTAGTTTGGAAAAAATTTTGTTGTAAAAATTTTAAAGATTATTTAAAATTATATCAATATGTTGACACTTTATTACTGGCCGATATATTCCAAAATTTTAGAAAATTAAGTTTAAAATATTATAATTTAGATCCGGTATATTTCATAACAGCTCCAGACTTAACATGTAATTGTGGATTAAAAATGACAAAAATTCAACTCAAATTATTTAAAGATATTAATATGTATCTCTTCATTGAAAAGGGGGTCACGGGGGAATCAGTTTAACGGGGAAGCGATTTGCCAGAGCGAATAATTCTCTAATTCCAAAAACCTATGATAAAAATCGTCATAACTATATTATTTTGATAGATGCTAATAATCTCTATGGATTTGTGATGAGTTCTTATTTACCTGTAAATAATTTCAGATGGTTATGCGAGGATAAGATAAATGCTTTAGACATTTGTAATATTCCTGATAGGAATACTATAGGCTATATTTTAGAAGTTGATTTAAATTATTCGCCAAATGTTCATTCTTGCCATAATGACCTACCATTAGCTTCTGATCACGCGAATATTCCATTTGATTTATAGTTATTATCAAATTATCAAAAATTGGTATTAACTAAATTAAATTTAAAATATAATAATACAGTAGAGCCTCAATTATCCGACCCCCGATTAACCGACACCTCGGTTAACCGACTGTCCTAGTTGGTAAATTTCAAATGTTCGCTAGTGATATGATAAGTTCGCTAGTTAGATGTGGCGCTACAATATTTGACTATGTCTTGGCTACTTTAATATTATTTTACGTGTTTTAGCTGGCAACACTCATTCGACCATGAAAGGGAGCCAGTATTTAAACAAGGCTTAATTTTCTAATTTTTACTGATACAATAGCGACGATTAATATTTAAAAAATTTTTGTTATTCTTAAGATTGATGAAAATTCAATGCGAAGTAGGTTAATAGCGATATACTAATATACTAATTACATGGAATATACGAGTACTACACTAATAATGGATTTTTTCATACTTTTCGGTTATCCGACTTTTCAATTATCCGACCAACCCCAGTTCCCAATTGGGTCGGATAATCGAGGCTGTACTGTAATAATAAAAATTAATTCCGACTTTGTTTGATAAACAAAATTATGTAATTCATTATAGAAATTTAAAATTTTATTTAGAAGAGGGTATTAACTAAAATTCATAGAGTGCTTGCATTTAATCAAGAACCATGGCTTAAGAATTATGTATTGTTTAATAATGAAAAACGGCAGGAATCAACGAATGATTTCGATAAAAGTTTCTTCAATTTAATGAACAACAGCTTTTTTGGTAAAACGTTTCAGAATGTACAAAAACATTTAAATTTGAAAACAGCTATGACTGTAAATCAATGTCGAAAGTATTTATCTCACTCAGCTCTCGAAAATTTACAAATTATTAATGATAATTTTACGATTTTTAAAATGAAAAAAATTAACTTATGTTTGGATAAACCGATTTATATAGGTTTTTGTGTATTAGAATTAAGTAAATTGCATATGTATCAAACATTTTATAAAATATTTAAAAATAAATATGGTGAAAATGTGAATTTGTTATATACAGATACCGATTCGCTAACGCTTCAAATTTATACGAATAATTTATATAACGACTTTAAATCATTTCCAGATATTTTTGATTTCAGCAACTACCCTAACACACATGAATTATTTGATGCAACAAATAAAAATAAGCTAGGATATTTTAAAGATGAGACAGCATCTAAACCTATAATAGAATTTTGTTCATTAAAACCGAAAATGTATTCGTATATTTTCGATAATCAAAATAAAAAAACAGCTAAAGGAATTAAAAAATCTGTTGTTAAAACATTTAACCACGAAAAATATAAAGAAGTTTTATTTAATACTGAGCTATTAAGACATCAGCAGTATGGTATTAAAAGTAAAAACCATATTGTAACAACATATCTTCAGAATAAAATATCACTCTCCCCGTTTTACGACAAAAAATTTATTTCTGATAATGGTATAGATGTGATATCGTTCGGACATTATACTTTTTATATTTAAATTCTTCCAGATTCTCTGATATCATCTCCCCCCCAATACGGTTACATATTATTGTACAAGAGGAAACGAAATTCAAAAACTTGTTTAATACATGGTGTTTCGAGTAAAACATATCGTTGTTTAAAACAAGCTGTAAATAAAGCTGGATTATTTAAATTACCAAATAATAAGAAATACTTTTGTAAATTTTTTGTATTGACTAACCAAATAACTATGATGTTATGTAATAATAATTTTATAAAATGTAGTTGTTCTAACTGTAATCGTACTTTTTAAAAATGTTGTAACCATGTTTATATATAATAAAACTATATCCTAATACAGAGTTTTTTTTATAGAATTCAAACACATTACACCACTCGAATGGGAAAAGTTTTCGAGTTTACCGATGGACGAAAATAATATCAAACGTTTTAAAAACTATATTAAATGGGGAATTATAAGCCAAAAAACTGATTTAAGCAGAGACTTCATTTCTGAATTTGCTGATAATTTAAACTGGGAGCTAATATGGAAAAATTATATATT